AATTAAGTTTGCTTAATGATTTACCATGATTACAACTTTAAAATATTTAGAAGATTTCCGAGCAATCGGTTTTGCAGTTTCGAAGTTATATAAAAAATATTGTTATTCAGTTTTGAATTTTTTCGACACGCATTGACACACAAGACCAGGAGTATCTTATTTTATGCAATTCAAAAAACTATTCTATTATAAATTTTGGACATGACGTTATCCTATTGTGGGGATGATTATCAAATTTTAGTTAGCGTTTAACCATCTACATGATGCTCCTAATATACATACAAAATGTGACAACAATCGGTCCAGCAGTTTTGAAGATTACTTGTCTAATAAAAGCGGACACGGACAGATGAACAGACAGACACACGGACGGACGGACGGACGGACGGACGGACGAACGAACGAACAGACAGACAGACAGACAGACGGACGGAAACGGGATACCACTTTTTTCGTACTCTAGAGGTCACGTCGAGAAAATATGAATGTGGCACTTCGGCCGATGGACTCGATTACTACAGGTACTACCTTAACTTACGTTCGGGAAGTAAAAATATGTATACAAAATCCTGAGATGACGTCACTGAATTTTTAGAAGGCATAACAGATAGGCTCTGAACAAAGATTTGTCATATTCGCGATAACCTAAAATTGCGGCAAAACTTAACAGGGATCAGTAATGTACCGTGTGTATTTTTTTCAGATTTTTACTTCCCGAGCGTAAGCAAAGGAAGTATTGTAATCGAGTCCGTCGGCCGACTCTCTACTTTTACGTTTTCTCGATCTTTCATGACCCCTAGAAGACGAAGAAATAGGTCTCCCATTTCCGTCTGTCTGTCCGTCTGTCCGTCTGTCCGTCCGTCTGTCCGTCCGTCTGTCTGTCGGTCTGCCGTCCCGGATTTTTATTAGACAGATAATCTCCGAAAGTACTCGACCGATTGTTGTGAAATTCTGTACTTATATTAAGAATATCATGTAGATGGTAAAACGCTAACCAAAATTTGTCTAATCATCCCCACCACTAATGAGATGACGTCACTTCAAAATTGTACATAGTAAATGGGTTTTCAATTGTATAAAATAACATAGTCCTACACATGTAGTTTACAACTCTGAATCGACTTTTCACCCGAAACGTCCAGATTTTTGGAAAAAAAATCAAAATTATAAAACAACATTTTGAAATTTAATTTTTAATCTGCTAACCAGAATGCTTTGAAATCTTGCAGATGTTTTAAGGTCATAAAGAGCATAATAAATGTTTAGTCAAAATATATTTGCTTATCCCCTCCAAAAACTTGATGACGTCAGCTCGAAAGTTTGCCGAATAAATCATATCAAAAATGTACAAAATATGATGAGCCTGTACTTGTCATTTATCACTCCATTCATATTTTTTGGATTTGCATATACAGAGTGACTCAAAAAAATTAATGAATGCGTAAATATATTTTTTTGATTTAATCAGGAACTACAAAACGGAATGCTCTGACATCTTGCACATGTTTTAAGGTTATAAAGAGCATAATAAATGTTTAGTCAAAATTTATTTGCTTATCCCCTCCAAAAACTTGATGACGTCAGCTCGAAAATTTGCCGAATAAATCATATCTAAAATGTACAAAATATGATCAGTCTGTACTTGTGATCTATCACTCCATTCATATTTTTTGGATTTGCATATACAGGGTGATTCAAGAAAATAAATGAAAGCGTAAATTTATTTTACTGATTTACTCAGGAACTACAAAACCGAATGCTTCGAAATCTTGAAGATATTTTAAAATTATCATAAGCATGGTAAATTTTTGATCAAAACGTATTTGGTCGTCCCCCCTAAAAAAATTATGACGTCACCACAAAATTTTGCTGAATAAATCCTATCTAAAATGTACAAAATATGGTGAGTCTCTTCTTATGATTTATCATTCCATTCAAATTTTTTCGATTTGCATATACAGGGTGACTCAAAAAAATTAATGAATGCGTAAATTTATTTTATTGATTTAATCAGGAACTACAAAACCGAATGCTTTGAAATCTTGCAGATATTTTAAGGTTATAAAGAGCATAATAAATTTTTAGTCAAAATATATTTGGTTATCTTCTACAAAAAACTGATGACGTCAGCTCAAAAGTTTGCCGAATAAATCGTATCTAAAATGTACAAAATATGATGAGTCTGTACTTGTGATTTATCATTCCATTCATATTTTTGGATTTGCATATGCAGGGTGACTCAAAAAAATTAATGAAGGCGTGAATTTATTTTATTTTATCGATTTAATCAGGAATTACAAAACCGAATGCTTTGAAATCTTGGGAATATTTTAAAGTTATTATAAGCATGGTAAACTTTTGTTCAAAATGTATTTGTTCATCCCTCCTAAAAAAATTGATGACGTCACCCTTAAATTTTGCTGAATAAATCCTATCTAAAATGCAAAAAATATGATGAGTTTGTACTTGTGATTTATCATTCCATTCATATTTTTTAGATTTTCTTAAGAGGTGGTTCAAAAAAATTAATGAAGTCAATTTATTTTATTGATTAAATTAAAGGCAACACTTATTATTAGTATTACACCCCAACCAACCCAATTTGGTAGACACAAAATTTGTTAAAGGAAAAACTCGGTTGAAACATAAGGGTAGCACGCTTATTTACATCGACTTTAACATTACAGACCTGCATTTGTTTTATGCGTTCACTTGGTTCCGCGAATGTGAAATAGACATGTTTATAATCAACCAATTGTGAATTTCACCGTCAAGAATTAAAATAAAACCCAATGTTTTATATAATACGCGGAAGTCGAAGCAATAAAACCGATGGTCGTTTTGTTTACAGTTTCTCTGTTTGACTCTCACGTATGGTGTTACGCCTGTCATCTTAAATTAAGAATGTTTATACATACACGATTTTCAGTTGCCTCTGATACGTATACGTGAGTAAATTGTTTCGTTATTTTATTGATTATTACAAATCAATATTCAAAACGACCCAATTCATTTTCCCGAAAATTTGAGAATATAATAATTTTATTCTTAGTATTACACTACATCTATCCCAACTGATATACGTGTCCTTGCAAAAATGTTGATGACGTCACCGCATTTTTTTTTAAATTCCCACTACAAAAATGTAATGAGAAAAAAAACACAATAGGCATGCAGTCGTCAAGTTTCCGACAGCGAGGGAAGTACTGTCTAAACTCTTTAGACCAATTTTTGCTCTAGGGCCATTAGAAATTTAAAAAATCACTCCATACTTTCTATGTTAAATTGTAAAATTTTGCTGCATAATTTTGATTTTTTTTCCAAAAATGTAGGTACATGCATAAGGTTAAAAATTTAGGCGAGTTAGTAAATCCACGTGCATGGGTATATTATTTTGCACGTTTTAAGCAGGACTTGCTTAGCACAATTTTGAGACAGCGTCATAAAATTTTTGGTAGAGATGATTCGATTATTAAATTTTGGTTTGCGTTATATAATATATTCTTAAATATATGCAGGGTGTTTACAACAAAATTGACAGTTCTTCGCGAAGTCTAAGAAGTCTGAAAAACTTATTTTGTGGTATCAAAATTATAAGGGGAAAATTAACCCTTATCCAATTTTTTTAGACGCGACTGAAAGATAAATAGGTAAAATTAAATTTTTTAATAATAATTATAACAATATTAATTTGTACGCTGTAATTCTACGATTTCGAAAGTTGTTTCTAATCAATGCATATCTTTTCTTGATCTTGCCTGAATACCTTCATTTTCGGGTGAGTGGTGCGTCTAAAATAATGTTTTTTTTTTTTAATTAAGTATAAGAGTTAAACGTCCTTCATCTGTTAATTTTCAAAATTTTAAATTTGATTGAGATTGTATTATAACCGCAAGCTTAAAACATCAAAACAATAGTGAAAAATATTTGTAAAACACAAAACGAAAATTGACAAGTTCTTCAAAACGACGTTTGTTACTTCCCGAATGGCTACTTTCATGTTTTCTTGACGTATTCTAATCCATAGACTAGGAAAAATAGGTCTCTCCTTTCCGTCCCTCGGTCTGTCTGTCATCTGTGTCGATTTTTATTAAATAGATAATCTCCGAAACTCTCGGATCGATTGTTGTCAAATTTTAGATTTGTTAGGTGCTCGGTAAATCGCGAATCAAAATTTATCTAATCAGCCCCACTAACAACGTGATGACGTTATTTTAAGAGTCTGCGTATTAAACACTATTTAAATTTTACAAAATAACATACTCCTCTACTTGCGGTTTATAAATTTGCCTTGAATTTTCCGCAAAAAATTAAAACTGAATAACATTTTATATTAATACCGAGAGCAATCTTTTTAATTGTTGTATTTTCACCTGAAAATTCTATCAAAGACAAATCTTCAAAAATCTATGACTGTCTTTGAAGTGTGTTTTTTATTGCTCTCTCGGTGCATGAGCAACGTTAAAAGGGCGACGGCTCAGATCATTCGGCGCGTACCAATAACACGAAAACTTTTTTTCTTACACTGTGACTGGTATTACCTGTATTTCTTAACTCATTTGGATTATCATAAAATAAATACAATATTCGGCAAAATCAAATTTTATAATTTTTCGAAGAAGCTAGATTTGTTGGACTGTACTTCAGGAACGTGGGAAGTTATGCCTAAGTAATCTTAGACCATTTTTTCCCATGATCTATTGTAAAATTATAATTGAAAAGACACTGGTGAATGATTTTCATTTTTTTACCGGCATCATAGAGTTTTCAACTTCCAAAGTAGAGATACGAGGGTTTTCGAGAAATCTAAGGTTTACTGACTTTAAAAGAAAACTGGTTTTTAATATTTGGGAGACGAGTATCTCTTATTAGTATTAGTTGTAGCATGATGTATGATAATGATAGAAGCCAAATTTAATGAAATTTTTTTTCTGGCAACCAAACCAATGTAATGTGTAAAAATACTTTTTAACGGTTACATGTATACAGGGTGTCCCAGAATTCGCGCCATTCCCGTGAATGACATGTTCCCTGTCCCGAACTGTGCCGTAATTCGCAAAAAGAATTGTCCAGGCTTTAACCGTGTGAGAACTGGAAGGCGATTAAGTTGACCAATAGAGAGGCTGCTTTTATATCCGAACGTTTCTATGTTCAAAGTTACCTATGCCAAGAACAAAAAATCGGGTAATACTAAAGTTGAATGAATTTTTTCCGAATCCCCCTCCGTCAACAAAGAAAACAGAAGTATGGTTATAAATTTAATCATTTTGACAATTGTTTGTCATAAACTGTCACGAAGTTCATCACTGATCTGAAGAGACGCTTCTGCGCCAAAGATGACTGATTAATGTACACAGAGAGGTCAAGGTTTAGTTTGAGGCAAGTAGCATGGAACAGAAGTTATTTCTGCTGCCATTCTAGTTAAATTGTGTTTAACTGGGCTGTACATGTCATAAGAGAAGCTGTTTCATTTCATCGTAGGCAAATAATACATTTATTACTATTCTACATAGAGTAGCTACCGAAAAGCAGGTATTAGAAGTCATTTTCTTAGAGCCCCGTGAATAATCGTCGGCACCCAGACCAACAAGTGTTTCACCGATTGTTACATCGAGCAAGAGAAGATGGATCTTTTCAACCTAGTCGGAAAGGCCGTGCTGGGGCTCCACGGAATGTACGTGTGGGTGCTGAAGAGCAAGTGTTAGAAAACATGGAAGCGGATCCTAGGAGAAGTGTCCTCTATGTAGCGCAAATGAGTGGATGCTCAAGATCGACCACTCATCGTATCCTTCAAGAGAGAATACTGCATCCTTACCATTACACGAAAGTGCAGCATCTGCGACCAACCGACTACCCGCGACGAGTACATTTTGCTCAATGATTTTTGCAACAAAATGAACTAAATCCTGATTTTTCACGGCGCATTCTTTTCACCGACGAATGTTCATTTTCCCGAGAAGGAATGTTTAATGCACACAGTTGGCACTTCTGGGCACACGAAAATCCACATCTCACTAGGGTGAGAGCGTATCAGGAGCGATTTACTATTAATCTATGGGCTGGAATCATTGGTACTACTGTGGTAAAAATTTTAATGCATCTGATAAAATCACTAAACTCCGTTCCTGTTTTTTAGGTGGGGCCGTTTGTGTTACCTGATCACCTTAATGGGGAGGCATATGCTAATTTTCTACGACTAGAGCTTCCGGCGTTGTTGGAAGACGTTCCTTTGAATGTACGGCGGAATATGTGGTTTCAGCACAACGGCGCTCCTCCACATAATTCGATACTTGCACGGCGAACATTGAAAAGAGTCTATCTATCTATGTTAAATAATATACAACACAACATAATGCGACGAGCTAGAACTGGCATTGAAGTTAATGGTGATCATTTTGAGCACATTGTTTAATAACGTTACGGTACAACGATTCCGGCCCATAGATTAATAGTATTGCTCTTGATATGCACTCACGTTAGCCAAATGTGGATTTTCGTTTGCCCAGAAGTGCCAATTGTGCGCATTAAATATTCACATGCTGGTCAAGGAGCCGATGATTGGGGAAAAGACCTGTATATTCGCACACAGCAGTGGCTGCATAGCGTTTACATTCTCCATAAATTAACATCATTTCCAAATATTCTTTATACTAGTATGAATAAGACATCAGTGACTTAGTGGTATTGGTACTGATTTGTTTATAGTTTGTATTGTTCTTAAAAAAAAATGCAACTACACGATTTTTGTTATAATTTTTATTCGTATCTTTTCACTCTCTAGAAAGTACTCGCAACTTTAAAGAAACTGTTTTAAATCTTCATGTGCAACATCAATATTATTCTTGAATAAGTCTCAGTTTTCAGTATCTCCCCCACATGATTGACACCACAGCAGATACCTATGATCTTAATACACCAGAGAACTGGAGTCTCGTCTCTTTTTTCGTTGCTTAGATTAGGTATCAGCAACAAAGCTGTTCAGTAAAAATTGATACTGTTTATTGAAAATCATAAGCACCGATTAATCGAAAGCGATATTTATGTTTTAGTACACTAAATAACGTTCTTTGAATGGACATGTGGTACTCTTTTTTAGAAATAACGATAAACTTAATATCAGGGATATGATGCAGAGTAAATTCTGAAAATGTACTAATTTTCGTTAAAAATAACAACACATTATTCACGGGGCTCGAAGAAAATGACTTCTAATACCTGCTCTTCGGTATCTACACTATGTAGAACAGTAATAAATGTATTATTTGCCTACAATGAAATGAAACAGCTTCTCTTATGACATGTACAGCCCAGTTAAACACAATTTAACTAGAATGGCAGCAGAAATAACTTCTGTCCCATGCTACTTGCCTCAAACTAAACCTTGACGTCTCTGTGTACATTAATCAGTCATCTTTGGCGTAGAAGCGTCTCTTCAGGTCAGTGATGAACTTCGTGACAGTTTATGACAAACAATTGTCAAAATGATTAAATTTATAACCACACTTCTGTTTCCTTTTGTTGACGGAGGGGGATTCGGAAAAAATTCATTCAACTTTAGTATTACCCGATTTTTTGTTCTTGGCATAGGTAACTTTGAACATAGAAACGTTCGGATATAAAAGCAGCCTCTCTATTGCTCAACTTAAGCGCCTTCCAGTTCTCACACGGTTAAAGCCTGGACAATTCTTTTTGCGAATAACGGCAGAGTTCGGGACAGGGAACATGTCATTCACGGGAATGGCGCGAATTCTGGGACACCCTGTATATATTTTTAGTCATAGCATGATGCAAAAAATTTCGGACCAAAATAGGTTACTGTATCTATTTTCTTTAGAGAATGTATTTTTTGTGTAATTATGATACTAATAAAGTGATTATTATTAATATTATTACTATGACAGACATAAAGCTAGCATGTATTGTTTTAATAATATTGGAAGCTTTACGTATAAAAATTATTTTTAGATTATCTTTTAATCTCAATTGGGCACAACATAATCTAGCAAAATCAAGCACAAATAAACTTCTGCTTCCCCTTGGTTGGTATTTGAATCCTGAATTATGCCTTCTACATGTGACACGTGGCAGTAAGCAAACTCAATTATTTTGCGTTGACAGCGACACTGCGGACGTTCACTACTTTTCTGTTATTTGTTGTTAAACACGTCTCTATCCGGATAATTGATGGTGTTTTCAGGGCGACGCAGGCGGATAAAGAGCAAAAAAGCACAACATTATAAAATCACGACTTTTAGAGCCGTGCTCCATATCCACGTGGAATCTGTAATTTATGGCTCTCGTACAGCTTCTCGAATAAATTGAAGGTTGATTCGGGGGCAAGTGGCGTGCCATAACTCGCAGTTAAATGCTCACGAGCGGTAATAACTAGTACGAGGGAAAAAACGACAAAGAGCAAGTCGTTCTAGAATCACTGTTGGTGCGGAATAATTAATAATTTAGCCGGTGTTTCTGCGGGCTGAAAGCTGTCGACAGCAAATAGCATTGATTATTTTAATATCGGTCGTAAGTTGAGGCTCTTCGGTAGTAATGGTAGCTCGAGACCGGCTATTGTGGCTTCGCATAATTCAATTACTTTGACGGGTGGACGTGCTACATTATTTTTGCATGGATCTCTTCGCGGGATCGGAAAGTGGCAGCGTAAAAGCCTACATACAATTGCAAACACATTGCCATTATCGTCGACACGTGAATCCTCGTGGAGTCACGAATAACACACGGTATTTTAATAGCTGTTAGGATGGCACGGATGCGATGTCCTTGCTCGACTTGTTCAGGTATGTGGTTGCTATTTTCACCCGTTTCATTGCTGATCATTAGCAAATTACTCGAGCTGCTCTTCAACGAGGGGTGGAGTAATGGCAGTTTCACCAATGAGAGTCGGTTTGACAACTGTTTGCATTTAATAAATAAAGTGCTTTCGAAGTCCGCGTCTGTCGCTGATGTTCCTCTCTATTTCTCGAATGATGGCTAAGGAAGTTCTGATGAACGTCTAATCTAATTTCGCGTTTTCTTGCCGATCGAACAGGCAGGATACGAGAATCCAGGTTTCCAATTTCCATCGATTTGTTGGAAACTTATTAGTCCTCCCGGACGGGCTATTTTAAAATTTTTGATGTACTTCGAGATTGTCGTGAAGACAATTCTAATAAAATTTATGTACTATCCCCTGGAAACAACTGATCACGTCTTCTAAGATATTCCCCAATAAATAAATTTGAAATGTGTTTGTTCCTTGTGTTTTTGGCCTCTTTCGAAATTTCAACGGTCGATTCTGTAAAAACGGTTACAGATATCAAAAAACCGAAGCCGGATTTGAGTTCTAGAGCTCGAAATCTATAAGAAAATGTGTTTAGTTGAGTTTCGAAAATGTCAAAATTTTTAAAAAATTTCAATTTAAAAAAAGTTGTCTCAAAATTATGAAAAATTTCAGGGACGCAGATCTCGAAACGCTGATTCCAAAAATATAGCATGTTGATGTTCACGAAGCAACATTTTCGAAAAAATCGCTGCGAAATTCGAATTTTTGAAAATTTCAAAAATTTCCAAATTTCAAAGGTCGATTCTGTTAAAACGGTTGCAAATATCAAAAAACCGAAGCCGAATTTGAGTTCTAGAGCTCGAAATCTACAAGAAAATGTATTTAGTTGAGTTTCGAAAATGTCAAAATTTTTGCGAAATTTGAAGGGGGGACCATTAAAAAATTTCAATTTTAAAAAAGTTGTCTAAAAATTATGAAAAACTTCAGGGACGTAGATCTCGAAACGCTGATTCCAAAAATATAGCATGTTGATGTTCACGAAGCAACATTTTCGAAAAAATCGCTGCGAAATGCGAATTTTTGAAAATTTCAAAAATTTAGATATTTCAACGGTCGGTTCTGGAAAAACGGTTGCAAATATCAAAAAACCGAAGCCGAATTTGAGTTCTAGAGCTCGAAATCTACAAGAAAATGTATTTAGTTGAGTTTCGAAAATCTCAAAATTTTTGCGAAATTTGAAGAAGGGGAGACCATTAAAAAATTTCAATTTTAAAAAAGTTGTCTAAAAATTATGAAAAACTTCAGGGACGTAGATCTCGAAACGCTGATTCCAAAAATATAGCATGTTGATGTTCACGAAGCAACATTATCGAAAAAATCGCTGTGAAATGCGAATTTTTGAAAATTTCCCAACTTTTAACTATGCGTATGTATAGGGTCCTAAAAATTACTTTAGATCATCAAATTATACAGGGTGTTTGGAAAATGACGGATTAACTCTTCAGTATACCTTATGTATTGGAGTTGGGGAGTACAAAAAATAAAAAAAATATTTATGATGTAGATTACGAAAAAAAACGTAATTTTATAAAAGTAAAATTGGCAACACTGCACGCACCTAATGTGTGAATATCTCCGACTTACTTTCTGATTTCTTAGGTAACTGAAATCCACCTTTTATTATTTTAGGACAATAACCATTTAATCGTTGATCATTATTATTAATAAAACGAGCTGTTATTCTTCATTAATAAAAAAAACAAAAAAAAATCCATTAAAGCATTACCAACTAAACACTAGAAAAGATGTTCAAAATTCCTGCCTTGAGCATACAAGTATATATTTCCAAAATTTGATCATTTTTTGTAAAAGTTAGTCAGTACTTGCTACGAGAAAACTGATTTTGGCAAATGACATCCCCTCTAAGAGAGGGTGGGTGGGTGGGGCTAGTAGCGTTAAGATAAGACTGATTTTGGCAAATGAGATAACCTCTAAGAAAAGAGAGGGCGGGTGGGCGGGGCTAGAATCTGCCAAGATAAAACTGATTTTAGCTATTGAGGTACCCTCTAAAAGAGGGGGAGTGGGTGGGACTAGTACTTACTAAGAAAAGACTGATTTTGGCAAATGAGGACCCTCTAAGAATATAGAGGGAAGGTGGGCGGGGCTAATATTTGTTAAAATAAGACCGATTTTGGCAACTGAGATACTCTCTAAGATAAGAGAGGGCGGGTGGACGGGGCTAGTACCTGCTAAAAGACAGACACCCGGTATATTTATTTGTTTGTTAATATAAGGATGGAAACAATATGACATAAATCTTTATGGAAAATGCGCCCTAACAAGTAATGAAAACAAGGGAACTTATATTTTGGTTTATCCTCATTATCAGCCTTTTAATCCATTTGGACTTTGGATTTTCTAGATTTATCGATTAACTTCAAATATAAAAAAAATATGATCTAGCTTAACAGGATAATTTTTCAAACTAGAGAAAGACGTCAAAACTAATTTAATAAGATCGATAAATATTCTACTATGTATACGCGTTTCCATCTGTCTGTCGTTTGTCTGTATCAATTTTTATTAATAATCTCCCAAACTACTGGAAGTATTGTAGTCAAATTTTATTTATACGTGTGTTAGGAATATCGTATAGATGGTAAAACGCTAACCACAATTTGTTTAACAATCCCTACTAACACTGAGATCACGTCAGTAAATTTTATTTAAAGTCTATATGCTTATGCAATTGTGGTTTATGAAACCGTCTTGAGTTTTTACCATAAATATCTAGATTTTTAGAAAAAAAAAAAAAAAAAAAAAAAAACTGAATCGCATTTTGTAATCTCTAGAGTTTTGTATGCGGTGGTAAAAAAAAGCGTTCCATAAATAATTGAAAGTTTAAATTTTAAAAATGCCTGTTGCAAAAATTTCACCTAACAAAATAGATGATGATAAA